CTCTCTCTCTCTCTCTCTCGCTCGCTCGCTGGTTTCTCACAAGGGCGAGGGGGGGGNGGGGGGCACAGCGACGGCGGGGGTCGGGGCAGGGGTGGCGGAGCCTGGGGACTTTGGGAATTGGACCAAAAGCCGGAAACCAAATTACCCGAACGCGAATGGAGAACGGAGCGTGCGGCTACCACGGCGACGGGGCGAGCAGGCGGCCGTTGTTCGTGACGGCTCAGACGGCGGCGGCTGCGACGACGACGGCTCGCGGACGAGTAGACGAGACGACGCGTGTTTGCAACGGAACGCACGAGCGGGCGAGCGGGCGACAGCTTGGCACCTCCGCGCTTCGCGAGCACTCGCACGCATTTATCGATGTCAAACGCTTCACCTCGGCGCGGCAGCAGCGCTCCGGCGCGGCCGCGGTGAGCGCGCGCGGCTTTACGCCCGCGGCGATTGGCCGCGGCGCGCCGCTCGCCGCCGCGCCCGGCCAATCGCCGGCGCCGTAACATGCGTCGCCGCGGCCCGTCGCGTGCCGCCACCAACACCCGCCGGCTGTCACGTGAATCTCATGCCCGAAAACAAAACAAACAGCTGGCCGCCCAGCGTCGCCGCTGTCGTCGTCTTCCAGCGAGCCGAGCGGGCCCGAGCGCGCGCCTACGCCGAGCGGCGGCAGCTGGACGCGCGGGGCCGAGCGCGCCCGAGCGCGCCCGAATCGAGGGATCATTGAGGCGCGAATGTGCGCGAGGCTTTGAAAATTATTCGAGAACGAGAAATAGATTAGAGGAATGTTATGAGATAGCATGCTAAAGCCCGTATCAGACTACGGATTGGGATTGGGATTAGATTGAAATTTAACCAATCACAGTAAAGTTTACTAATCTCAAGTTCAGTAACTTTTACTCTGGTTGGTCAAATTTCAATCTAATCCCAATCTCAATCCGTAGTCTGATACGGGCTTAAGGCTGCGTTCGGAAATATCATTTCAACGCTCCAGTATATCGTTTTATCCTCCGGTCAACAAATGTTAAATAGGGATGAAACGATACACTGGGGCACTTGTGTGGTGTCCGTGACCGTAACTTAATATGGGATAGCGGGGTTTTCTGTTAAATTAATAGGCAGCATCAGTCGATTCCACCATGAATTTATTGCCCTTGGAGCGAAATCTGTTCTGTGGAAAATTCATTGATCGCGTAATCGTTGCGAAAAAAGATTTCTGATTCCGCCGACTGCGAAACGCGTAAATTAATGTATCCCGAGTCGGATCTTTTGCCAAGTGCTTTTATGGTGTAGAAGATTGAAAATATACTCGTAGGATTTCTTAAACGATTTCTTCAAGAGTTTCTTCAGAAGTTTCTTCATTTCGGCTGCGCTTCTTTGTCTTCTGCGTCTGAAACGAATCGTCGATAATGCAAAAAGCTCGATTAGGAATAACTGAGACATTTTTATATCGTTAATCACATCGATAATGGACCCGTGAGCCGAAGAAATGCAATAATTAATATATGGAGATTGAAATAGCAAAATATTCGATAAAGATGATAAATGAAAAAGTACCATGATTCGAGAAAATATTTTCAGAAGACGGAAAGATTGTCCGGTTTTAAATGTAGAAATGCAACAATTTTATTTATCAGATCAAATATAAAGCCGATTCTTTCTCTTCGCGAGATCATTTCACATTCGCGATACTGGTTTGATGCCCAAAATATCCAGTGCGTTCTCAAAGACAACTTGCAACGCACGCAACATGTACAATCTTGCAACCATCCTGGGGATCAAATGATCACCTCCTTCCTAAAAGTCAAAATTATCTTGTGTAAAAATATATAAAATATACGCAGTTTTTTTTTTCTTACCGTTAAAATTCTGGTCTTTCGGTAGTAGACGCTGAACGTTTGACATAACCGTGACAAGAACAAGCATACGACGTGTGGATAGACATAAAAACTTGGCTCGCATTTTAGACAATTATTTATCATCTGTGGATACTCGCAGATAAAATTGTATATGAGCTCCCATTCTTCCTGCAAACAGATCAACTTCTCTTTAGAAATATCAAAATTCAAAGTAATGAATTAACAGCTGAAATTTTTTGTATAAAGCCCGTATCAGACTATCGATTGAGATTGTGATTAAGTTGAAATTTGACCAATCGGAGTAAAGTTTACTAATCTCAAGTTTAGCGACTTTTACTCTAATTGGTCACATTTCGATCTAATCTCAATCTCAATCCGTGGTATCTGATACGGCCTTAAGAGTGACTTGTTACAGCAAACTCAAAAGGATTATGCTTACTTCTTCTTGCAGCTGCGAGAAATCAACATCTTTTATATCTGGCAAACTAGGGTAATCTCCGCGTAACACCCTCTCATTGTGTTTTGCTATAATTGTCGCTATTCTGGCAGTGTTGTACAATGCAAACGATGCACCTACGGCAATCACATAATTGTTATATAATTTTTCATTTGCTTTACCGTCGAATGAAATCGGTGTTAAAATTAAACATTTTTTAAACAATTATAAAATTACTTTCAATCAAACGAACAAAATGATACTAGAAATAAGAAACAAAATTCGCTTCGTCCACAGCCACGGGGTCAATTCTGTATCTTAAGCCCTGTGTCCACGATCCAAGAACCGTGTCCAAGTTCTAGTTCTGAGAAATGTGTAGCCAATCAACTTACAGCTTTTATGAAATAGCTGCAAGTTGATTGGCTACACATTTCTCGGAACTGGAACTTGGACCAAGCATCGTGGACACAGGCCTTTACACTATAGTGAAAATGCTGAAAGTGAGTAGCTCTATCACTTTCTAACCGTCCCCTTGGAAAGAGACAAAGCCGCTAACTTTTAGTATTTTCACTACATCGCAAGACACAGAATTGACCCCTGGCAATTCACCGATGTGAAATATACCTCTGGTATTCGTGACACTTCTGTCGTTTCGCAAATTAATGTTCTCGATAACAACCGATCGACTTGGGTTTACCGCCATCAGTTCAAAAATGACAACGGCATTGGCCAAGTCGCGCAGGAAGAAATCCCTCCCGCCGGTCTTCTCGCCCTCGATAAATTTATGCTCGTTCAATTCGGCTAATTGACTCATCTTGCATTTTATATATTGCTCCCACGTAAGACGCGTCTCCTTTTTTGGGATTGGGAATTCGGATTGGGATTGGGATAGAATCGATTGGGGGATCTTCACGACGCCACAGACACACTTCTCGTATCCTTCATCGACCGGTCCCTCCGATTTGCTAGTGAACACGTATCTGCCGGCGCAATTTTCCCCGGCTGACACCGCGTGTCCATGCAGACCCAACGCCTTCGCGGCGACGTCTCTTGTCAGACGCAACCTTTGAGTAGTGAGATCCGATTGTTCGTCGGGCTGATACTCCAACGTGAACGCTTTACCGGTCGGTTCGTTCTTCCCAAACGTCACCCCGCACTCGACGGCCAGCTTTATACTGTTTGCAACGATATCTCCTCGATTTAAGAACAAGCAGACTCTTTCCCGCCGCAACGCGCATTTCTGTATCCTTACCGGCCAGCTGCTGCTCTTCGATATCAGCTGTTCGAGGATCTGCTGGGATAGAATTTTGCAATCATAAATACAACATAATGCTTGACTATCAGATTTATTTAACAGCATAAAGATACATTTTTCAACATTTCACACGCGGTAACGTGCGTGTGGCATTTCAAGCGCGGAAAATACGTGCAAGTGTCGCTCGCATGAATGTATTAAATTGGAACAAGCCAGTGCTAACGTAATAGCGAATTCGAGCGCTTGCATTAGTGCGCTCCGAGTGCACACTAAAGGTGCGTTCTCGTGTTTCGCGTGTGGTGCGCATGATGCATCATTTATCCTTGTTATTCACCAAATGTTAGAAAGGATAAATGATGCACCATGCGTATCATGCGTGAAACGGAACGCACCCTAGGGCCTGTTTAAGCCAGAGTTGACAAAGTTACTTCATAAAAGCTTCCAGTTACAGTTACAAGTTGCCAATTCTGAAAAGTAACGCGTTTAGGCTGCTATTAAATTTGTCGTACGACAAATGTAATACCAGCCTTACTAAGGAAGAAACGGAGACCGAGTGAGAAGTGCGAGAAAAGGCGAGGGACTGCCAGTGATTTAGCGAATATATCGTAGCTTGCAATTTTTTCGTATTACGCTTTCCTTGTCCAACTAGAATTGCGATCAACGGACAATTCGTCCTTGTTGTAGTGTTAGTGTTTCTGACCAAGTTCACGTTGAACTGTGCCGTATTAATATTTTAAAGACATTTTGAATTCCTGGCACATTAAGGATGTATCGGACCTATCTTCGAAATTGTTCTTTTAATCTTCCTAATGTACTGCAGAAAAGTAAAAATGCATCCATTCAACGGTTGCTGAGATATAACTATTTTACACTGATTTTACACGTACTCTTACGGAAAGATCCGATCTTCACGGATAAAACAGCTAAAAAAATGTAGAAGAAATAGTAGCAGTGTTTTGAATTTTTTTTTATACGAATAGATGAAAATATCTAGTATACGAATAGATGAAAATATCTACCAAGTTTCAATACTCTTTACTATACCGTTTTAAAGAAATAAAATATGACTTGAGATATTCGTGCTGTCGGCACGATATGTATATTTTCACTATCAAAAGTTTAGGCTCATAAGTGAAAAATGCAGGCAAATAATGGAAAAAAACATTTGTAAAGTGAAAAATACCTTTGTAGGAGTAGAAATAAGATTCCAACTCTCGTTCAAGTTTCTTACATCTAGATTTATTATGCATTAAGAATAGATATTCAAGTATTTCCAATTTCATGCACCTTTGCCTAAGATTGTATGTCCAATACGTCCTTAAAGTGATCGCCTTATTTGATTTTACGCCCTATTTCGCTCTAAATTTATATACAGCTTACAAATGTAACTATGAATGTAACTGAGTTAAGCTACAGTAAAGCCTTGTGTCCACGATCCAAGAACTGTGTCCAAGTTCCAGTTCCAAGAAATGCGCAATCGACTTGCAGCTTTTCCGTAGAAGATACAGGTTGATTGGTTGCACATTTCTTGGAGCTAGAACCCTGCAGACAGTTCTTGAATCGTGGACACAAGGCTTTGCAGATGGAGAGAAAGTAACAAAAAGAAAGGTAACTATAACTGTAACTTCGTTACAAGTAACAAGTTACTTCCCAACCCTGGTTTAAGGCTAAGCTACAATGCGCCCTTTAGCGTCTAGAAACTTTCTATTTTGTATCAGCAAATCAAATCGCTTAAAAACTTTGTCAACAACGTATGATCGTACAATGTATAATGTACAATTTATCAACTTGCACAAACTTTTTAAATGTATTTATTGGCTACAAAATACAGTAGAATGTTTCTAGGCGCAAAGAGCACATCGCAGACCAGGCTTTATAGTCAATCTTTATATTCAACTTTGTCTCACATGCTCGAGGAGTATTTAGCCAAAAACTGATCCGTACGGATGCCATACAGATCATTTTACTGGCTACGAAATCTTTCGTGCTGGATTGCTTGCGATTTAGTAAATTACTAGAAATCCTGAGTGCTGAGTGGTGCAACGATAGTAATTTATTAGATTGCAAGCAATCCAGCAGCGGGCTTTAAATATAAAAATTGACTGCACTCACAATCAGCGCGCACTAGTGCAAGCAACCGAGTTCGCTATAAATAATCGCTATTGACGAGATCTGTTCACCTCTTCAGCCACGTCCCCGTCCGTGCTGCCTCTCGCACCACCGCATGCACGTGCGAGATGTTGCAGGACACTCGTGCAACCGTTGGAGCAAGCCAGGAGATCTCTCCATGCTTTAAAGTTGCACAGGAAATACAGCTCTCCATTTGCCAGCAGATTCCTGCGATTCACCTTGACCACCGAGGAGCCTTCGTGCGCAACGCCTGTGAAATGGAAGACGATGTTGTCAATAATAGACCCAGCGCAGAAACCGGTCCAGGTTTCCATCGAGCACTTCTCAACGCTGATATACGCCGATCGGCAAGGCAACAAGCGACGCTCACTGTCATGCGAGATTCTAGGTTCTGTTCTCGTCGTTGCGTTAGATCGCACCTGCTGCTCTCTCAAAACAAAGATAATTGTATAATTAAACGTGGGAGAGAAGAGGAGAAAAGTTGGGACAAGTGCAACAAGTGCAGCTGCAAAGAGTACACGTGTCGCTGTCAGATGTTGCACTTTGTGCACTCGGAACTCGGAACGAAATAAACGTTTCAGATATGTCGACAGAGGAAGGCTGATGGCAGACAACTATCCGTAAGCGCTTAAGACTGACGTAGCCGTAGACTTAAGGTAAGGCAGAGAAAAACGTAAGTCTACGTAACGTAACGTCTACGGCTACGTCAGTCTTAAGCGCTTACGGATAGTTGTCTGCCATCAGCCAAATAGGAAGTACAGGCCTGTGTCCACGATGCTAGAACTTGATCCAAGTTCTAGTTCCTAGAAATGTGTAGCCAATCAACTCGCAGCTATTCCATAAAAGCTGCAAGTTGATTGGCTACACATTTCTCGGGACTAGAACTTGGACCAAGTTCTAGCATCGTGGACATTGGCCTTACGAGATAACAAGATGTTGAACAGATTAATAAAATCAACAGCCCTAAGATCTGCCTGTTTTATTACTCGTTGCACTCCTCGCGTTGAAATAAGTTATGTTCGTACTTGAGAGAAAATGCAACGAAAGCAGGCAAATCTCGCACGTATCAGTATTTTTCTCTTTCACTCGAGAATGTCTTGGCTAAAAATGCGAGAGGATAGAATCCTTTGTTGTTCACTTGGGAAACATTTTGTATTTAAAAACCCATCTTGAATCAACATCAATTACCCTGCTGGAAATAATTCTACAAAATTCTACAAAAAAAATTAAATGCAACTGCCAGAATCTAAAAAATTCTACGTAAATTTAAAAGGTGTTATAAAAATCAACATAAAAATGCTAGAATTGGGACAATTTCGCTAATTTTTGTAATATTCTACAAGTGAGCAAATGTTTCAGTTCTTTCAGATTTTGTTTGACAAATTTTTAAAACTAGTAGTTTTGTACTTAAGATTCTGTTTATCGGGGTTTGAGTAACTGAAACAATAATGAAGTAAGATTCTCGATAATAATAGTGTAATTAAATGTATCATACTTAATTACAGACTTATATATCTTACAAAGTCATCACAAAAAGTATTTGCTACTTAAAGTACAAGATATATGATTTCGACATATTGATATCTATAAATTATTCAAGTTTTGCCATTCTATCTAACAAATGTGTTAGAAGTCTGTTAAACAGAATGATGGTACTTGACGTATGCTATCGCTGCAAGATCTTTGCAAAATTCCTCCGTCACTATAGCGCTTTCGTACAGAATGTTTTCCTTCTCCCTAAAACACATCAAAGCGTAAAAGAACAATTAATATACTGTATATATATATATATATGTAATGTATTCAAAATGTATCCAAAAATGTTATTTTTGGATTCTAAGCTTCATGGATATAAACCACCCTAGTAACAATGTATTAGCTAAACATTGGCTAAACATTGGTCGAATGTTGATTATATTAGAAATGCATTGGCCGATATAGTCCAAGATAAAGCTAATATTGGCCAATGTAAATGTAAATGTTGCACGATAATAATTATATAATATTAAACAACAAAGGCTAATGCAAGTCTAAGGCAAGATGTTGTTTAGTTTTAATGAGAGTCCTACTTTAACTCTATTGTATATAATATTAGATTTATATTGAAAGTACATTGGCCAATATTTAACAACGCAATAAGAATATTGATCTAATATATCAGTTTACTGGCTAAGAAGTATTTCAAGTGATATTTAAGGTGACCCTTAAATATAAGAAACGACTGTAAGCAATCGAATTAGTTTCAAAAGGGAGTTTTACTTTGACAGAGTTTTAGCTTGATGATTGAAATTGATAAACACAACGCAAGAAATTAAAAGGAAACGTATTAATCTGCGATAAAGTAGATCAGATCCCACTCACTCTTCTTGCGGACAGCTCAACAATCTTCGCCTCGTCTCTGTCAGCATCATTTTACTCTCCGGCGTCTTTGGTATCTCGCTAACGAGCTGCTTGACAACCTTCTGTAGGCACGAGAACAGGCTCTTCGTGCCGGGTATCAGAGGTAGCAGAGGGTTCAGCAGGAACTCGTGCAGGTACGGGTGCGGGAGTAGCGCCAGTCTGGAGATCAACCCTGTGACCTCCAAGTTGACTTCGTACGACTGTTTCGGCATGTTGCTGATCTTGTCGAAGAGCATATTCAGGAACGGCCCCATGTAAAATCGACCCGAGCAATGATCGGCCTCCGGTCGCGAATCGGAACTTGCCGAGTCGTCTACCATCACCGCTTCCAACGGCCACGCCATTAGGGCGCAGTCGGACAGTACCGAAGTGTACTGGTGTTCCCAAGCCGGCATGTACTTCTCGTAGTTATTGACGTCCGGGTTTGTTTGCAAGTAACGTGGCATCAACGACAGGAAGCTGAAACGAAGATCATTTCGTCGCGTCATTGTTGCATTCCTGCTCTTCGTTCATCTTAATTCCTTGTAGCTCATATCTTCGCGTTTGGACCCGAGCAATTAGTACAGACTTATTTTTGAAAAAGAGATCTTTGTATTAATATATTTTCAATTAATCACACTTTACCAATTGATAACTCGGTGGATATTACTCGGCGCCAAAGTGCGGCTGTGATTTTGCTCGTAGGAAAGGTCCAGGGATCCCTTCTTCTCCTTCTCCCTCTCGTCCTCCTCATCGCTCCACGAAGCGATAGCGCTATCAGCGGCGGTGTTATCGTAATACGCACGAGTGGACAGATAAATCAGCAAGAGACAGTGCAATATATGCTCGCTTCTTTTGTCTATTGCCTCCTCGAACAACTTCAACGTTTCCACCGTGAGATCGTTACTGTCCGTGAAGCAGTTCTCTATCAGCCTGTGCAGTACCGGCGAGGTCCACACGTTCGGTATTTCTGAATCCCTGTCTTGCCCGACCAACCAGTAACTCACCTCTGAAACATCGTGCCAATGATATGTTCGAAAATCTCGGCGGAGAGCGAAAGTAGAAAATTTTCTAAACTAAAGAAGATTTTAATATACCTGTACACAAGATGGACGAGGTCGTTTCCTTCAAGCACTTGGCGACGAGGGCTGTGATAAGTACGACGTGGTGATCGGCCAGGGCGGGCGTTACTATCCTCTCGAAGAACATCACTCGAATGGTCCTCGCCAGCGTCTCGGCGAGCTCCATCTGGGCCTCCCTGATCAGCTGGTCGCAGTAGTCGTACCACATGAAGAACGCCGCCACTTGCCGACAACCGGGGAACTTCTTCTCCTGGGTCCACAGCGGCGAGTCCAGGCCCCACGTGACGTCCACGTTGTAGATGTCCAGGTAGTCCACGTGCGCCGGGATGGCGTTGAACAGGTTCTCCAGACGTGTCGAGACTATCGACGATAGCCCGCTCCTGGCCACTGTTTGCGCGAACGAGGGATCATCCAGAGACGCCAGAACCATTATTCCCTCGCACGCTCGTATTCTTACGGTGTTGTCCTGAAAGCGAGAAACAGGGGAAGAACGATTGATTATTACGTACGACATGCTGCGGTTACCATTAAGTTAATTCATAGCTAATTGTTCGTAAAGCAACAACATTCTTTACCGCGCTGTTTAAGTAGCTCATCAGGGCGTCCAGTAAGAGACACTTGGACTTCTGCGGCGTCTTCGGCGACTTTAAACTCTGATTATCACCCGCCACGTAGCTCGCGTCATCGTAGACGTTGCAATCGGTATTTAATCGCAGGTCCCGCAAGTTTTGTAAATGTTCATCGATTTTACTACCCGAGGAATCTGCCCCGCCCTTCTCCCCCCACCGCTCGTTACTCTTCGTGTCCAACGACGGCGAGTCGCAAACGGACTTTCGGGCCAGAGGACTCGACGAGATGCTCTCCTCCCTCGAGGACACGGACTCGTTCGATCTCCTGGACAGGCGTCCAGGATCTGATGCGGTCGCCTTGAAAACATGATTCGAACGTGGCAGCCTCCGGCGTTCCTTATCAAAGAGATTCGGGCTGACCAACGTGATCGCTTGGGTGTCCAAGGGCTCGAACAAGGGGTTGGAATTGTTCCTCTTTCTGGTCGGGACGTACGTCACCTTCTGGATCTCCGTTCTCTCGTTATCCTTCTTGGCAGGGTTGTTGACTGCCTGCACAACTGGCGCGTCATTGATGATGTTGGTCACATGAGGGTATTTGCACACCAGGAAGCAGATTGTTAGCAAGAATTGCACCTACAAAGAGAGCAAGTTCTTTAGCAGTTTCTTTAGCGAATATTAAAATTTTCCGAAAATGCGCTTCGGAAACTAACAAGTTTCACAGGTGATTCATGATGCCTCCGCGAACACGATGTTGCAGGAAATTACTTGTAAATTATTTACGCACGAGAGAAACAGACATACTTTATGAACACGAGGAAGTTTCTTCAAAAAAATTCGACCAAACTGGCATAAAAGATAAAAATTAAATTGTTCAGTCAACATTAGATTGTACTTGAAAAGGACCTGATAAGAGGTCGAAACGTTGCGATTTAAATATATATCTTTTATGCCAGTTTGGTCGAATTTTTTGAAGAAACCTCCTCGTGTTAAGCTACCACTGGCGACAATAAGCCTCACTCAAATACTTTATGAATATCATGTAATTAAAATTATTCGTAAATAATTTATGATAATAATGGCGATGAATAATTATTTCCCGCGTGCAAAAATAATTGCGTACACCCGTAAACAATATAATACGAAGCCATTGTAAGAAGTACTCGTTGGTTTACAAACATCCACGAAATATTGTCTTACTCTGCAGAATTATTCCACATTCAAGATTTCTTTCCCCAAGACATCAATAAGTTACATCCACAAATCTGTACACGCACCGGCATAAATGCTGTCCCTATCCTTGTGAGGTGCACGCACACAACTACAGGGACTCTAGTTGTGTGCGTGCACCTCACAAGGGTAGGGACAGCATTTATGCCGGTGCGTGTACATGTATTTTTACCTATTCATAAAATAATCTCTTCCGCAAAGTCCCTCTATTTTACGAGCAGACCTCGCGGTCGTAACAAAAAATAATTCGCTACAATAAAGGTCGTACATAAAAACGTGGCCGCCGTACAAAATGTGCAGCTGCAGCAGCGACGGTTTCGCTGCAGCAGCGAAAATTAAATCTACATCTCAAAATCGCGCTTGAACGCGATCGGTGGCGTGACACCGAACGCGGCCGAGGCCAGGCGAAATTAACCGAGCCGCGTCCGTTCGAGACACAAAGCGCAATGTCTCGCGCCGCGCGGTGACGTTCGCGCGTCTTCCGACTCGCGAATTTTTTCCCCCCGCACGAATGTCGCAGGACACGGGTGGTCATCGGAATCGCCCTTCGAACGTCGCCGGACACTTTACGCGATTATCGAGCAACGAAGACGCGAGAGTGCGCAGAGACATCTCGGAAATCGCGGGATGCCGCAATCGAAACGAAGACGAAAAAGTATACGTTCGGAGTGCGATTTCGTTTCGCGTCGACGTAGCAATTAGACGTGCGTCGAGAAGAGCGATCGTGAAACCGCGGTCGGAAGTAGATTCCTCCCCTAGTGCGCGAGGATGCGCCGAGACATTTTGAAATCGGCGCGCGGCGCGCGGCGTGCGTCGATCGGCGGCGCGAAGCCGAGCGCGGCCGAAGGGACGGCGGGACCGGCCGAAGGTGCATCGGCGCATTCGAAGCGTATTGTTTCGCGCCGGCGGACGTGCGCGGGCGTGAGTCGCGCGACTCGCGATTCGGCGATCTTCCGCGCGCGAGACAAGAGAGATCGGCGGATAATTCGACCCGAGGTCGTCCGCGGGCGCTCAATGGTGATCTTCGTTAGAAGATGAGGCCAAGAAGTTCGCGAGTGCTGTTCCGCGTCGTCAGGGGATCGAGACGGTTCGTGAATTTCGCCACCGCGCCCGGTCGGCGACGAGGAGAGTGAAGTTAGCCGCGTGAGCGTCCGCGAGCAATTGTGAAGGATCGCGAGTGAAACGGTTCTATTCGTTAAAGTGTGCCGCCTGGCTGCCGTGTCTTACGAAGCGACGGAGCTCGATTTTTCCACGACGAGGAGGATCCGGTGCTGACGAGGCCAGAACGGCGGACCCGGCGAGCTGTTTGCACCAGGTTACGTAAGTAGATGTATACATTTCTCGGATCGGTTGCGAGTGAACGTCTCGAGCGCAGCGGACGCGTCGGTTGGTATGTTGATACAGCGAGCGAGCCGGGCAAAGAAGTGTCGGTCAAGAAACAAAACTCGTAGAAAATTGTAGCGAATTCTGTATAAGAAATGAAGCTCGTAGAAAACTCTGCGAACGCCCGAAAAAGATCTTGGTCGGCGGTTTCTCCCTCGGTTTTAAATCTTCGTCTTAAGTGACGCACAATAACTGTCTCGCGACTTGGGTCCGGTTTCGTCAAACGTCGCTTAACTTTAATCTTACAGTTTAATTCGTGTTTGCCTCTTTCTAAAGTAAAGGCCGATCTACAACGTGTCCTTTGCGTCTAGAAACATTCTATTTCCTAGCCAATAAATACGTTTGCAAAATTTGGGCAAGTTGATAAATTGTGCATTATACATTGTACAATCGCAAATTGTCGACAAGTTTGTTAAGCGTTTCGATTTGTTTACATAAAATAGAATGTTTCTAGATGCAGAAAGCACATTGTAGATTAGGCTTCACAGTCGGGAGGAGACAGAGAACGGATTAAGCTAAACTTAAAGTTAAGCGACGTTGGTGAAACCGGGCTAGAATACAAGACAGCCGTTCTGCTCAGACCCTTAACGTTTGTTTCCGACGTGGATTAACTTTAATCTCGGTTAAACTTGCTTTTCTTCCTCTTCCGATTCTTACAACTGAGGAGAGACAAAAAGTAAACCGAGAGATTGAAGCTTATCCAGGTGGAAACGGACGTGAGAAAATAACAATTTTTTTCAATTATTAGGCAAAGAGAAACGAAAGTTTTCTACGAGGGCCATTCGGAAAGTAAAGAACGTTTTTCTTTATTTTGAAATTTTCTTATAGCCAGACAAAACTTTTTTTACAACATACCTGATACTTAAACTATTTTTCTACGTAATCGCCGTACAAATTTAAACACTTGTACCGTTTCACCAATTTTGCTATGCCTCCTGCATACTCAGTTGCCGCCGAGTTGTTTAACCACTCACTAACACCCTCTTTCAGTTCGTCACTTCCATAGCGGTTCCCGCCCAAAAAATCCTTGAGTTTGGGAAACAGATGGAAATCACTCGGGGCCAAGTCTATAGGGCGGATGATGAAAAAGCTCCCATCGATAACGCACGACCACATTCCGCTGCATTGACGAAGAACTTGCTGCAACAGTTTCGATGGGAGCTTTTTGATCATCCGCCCTATAGCCCGGACTTGGCCCCCCGACTGATTTCCATCTGTTTCCCAAACTGAAGGACTTTTTGGGCGGGAACCGCTATAGAAGTGACGACGAACTGAAAGAGGGTGTTAGTGAGTGGTTAAACAACTTGGCGGCAACTGAAAAATAGTTGAAGTATCAGGTATGTTGTATAAAAAAGTTTTGTTTGGCTATAATAAAAAAATTTCAGAATAAAGAAAAACGTTCTTTACTTTCCGAATGACCCTCGTATATCCCTATCTTTTCAGAAGCGGTTTTCGCTTTGAATTAAAACTCGAGTAATCCGTCGCTGATGTTTCGACGGCCTTTGTGTGTAGTAAATCGTTAATTACACAAAACGGAAAAGGCCTCTTTAGACAACTGTGGCTCCTCGAAGTCGTAGATTCCTAGTTTCGCTGGCGAATCTCGACTATAGACATCTCGCACAGTCGTGAGAAATCGCGGTGCATCGATTCCGCCGCTAATCGTACCTCCTCGGCCTCGATCGGCGACGGCGGGTTGCCGTTGCAGAGCGCAACCAGCCGTTGTATCGGCGCGTAGATGGACGCGTGGTGCAGCAAGGGGTACTTGGACCTGCCCAGAAGTTTCCTCAGGAAGGCGAGGCAGACCGTTCGCATACCAGGCGGCGTCTCCGCGCTTGCTAGGGTCGCCAGTAGGTCCAGGAGCTTGTGCTGTAGTAGGTATTCCAGGCAGGGCCCCGGCTCATTCTCCTCTTTCTCCTCTTGCAGCAGAATGTCCAGCAGCACGTCCAGGTGTCGGGGTATGCTGGTGTTTTGCACCGGTACCTTGCAGTCGGTCAGGTGACTCACGTAGAAGTTCATCAATTGTTTCCAGTGGTAGGTGAAGTCCTGCAACGGTGTCGCCGGCGGGGCTATCTGGAAACGTAGGAGAGAATATCGTGAATATCTCGATATATGCGACATGTAAAAAGTTTTCTTTCTTAATTGATTCCCGCACCTGTGATAAGAATTGCCGGACGTTTACTTTCGAGAGTAATTTAACGAGATTTTCGAGATGAATCAAAGAATAGGAAAAGTTACGCAGCCGCAGTCTGGAGATTTATACATTTTATCGAAAGGTCGTGAATTACTTATCAACGAGAGGTACCGTGCAGTCGAGAATTATTAATAGTTCTAAATCGAACACGCGTTAAGAAGAGATATAAATTGTAATTACGAATTGAATTCCTCTGTAATCGCGTCAGATCAATTTGATCTAAGCGATTTTCCATTTCAATTGTTCAATTCAATTACACGAAAGAACGAAAGCGACTATAGATGCACGTAAAGGGAGAAGTTTTAAATTGCTGTGATTAACATTATCGAACATTGATTTTCCAGGGTAATTTATCGAGATCTTTAAGATAAATTTCTTTGCAGTGCGGGGAGGGGGGTATCGAATGCTAAATATATAGCATTTTTAAATCATTAAAAATCTTTCATCGATTTAATACGCGAATTTACTGACGACAACGATTCCATCTAGAATCTAAATGAAACTGTGTTACGTCCGAAAAGAAACCAAACATATATGGTTTAAAAAAAGGATGTCAAGATACAAATTGTAATACGAATCGTAATTACGTATTTAATTTCTCTACCCGGGGAGAATTATCTCTTAAAATTTACCCTGAAAATCACGTAATCGTGGGATTTTGAAGAATTTTGCGAATTTGTTTAATTACACCATACGTTTTACTAGTGAAATGTATAATAAATGATGAAAATCATGTAGTGGCAAGAATTTCACGAGTTATTTTTTAAATTTCACCATAATTATATTTCACTGATAATTATATTTAGTAACATTTACTTAATATAATTATTAGTAAAATATCCTAAACCGAATAAATTTTACTATATTTAGTATACATTTTACTAGTAAAATTTCAAAAAGCTCTCATACAATTCTTCAAAATGTCACATTGTCCTACACTGAAAAAAAATCTGATAGATTCAACCAGTCGTCTGTTAGAAAATGGACGACTCAGAATTTCTTCAGGATTTACCAGGTGTGTAGTGAAGTCTAGCAAACTTCTGGTTATGAAATATCTTTCATGGTAAATCCTTAAGGAATTCTGATTCGTCCATTTTCTAACAGACGACTGGTTGAATCTATCAGATTGTTTTTCAGTGTACGATTACACGGATTTCAGGATAAATTTTAAAGGAAGCTTCTCTCCGTGCATATGCTCGTATTTAATTTCTCTGCATCGTGTCAAATGAATCTGAACTAAACGTTTTTTAACTTCAGAAGATTACTTGACCATGTCTAGCAAATTTTTATGTTTAAACTCACAACGTTACGACCACAGTTTGTGGCCCTTTTCAAGTGATAATTGTGTCAGTAAATCCGTATGGTAAATCAAAAGGACTGATCTTAATTTCACGAACGACAGAGCATGACTAAACGATTATCAATTTTATATAATTTATTTTTAATCGTACTTTTTTATTGTACAAAAGAGCGAAAGCGACTAGGCGCACGTGAAGGGACTGTTTTTATGTTAAATTGCACCCGCAATAAACGTTATCAGTAATTCCGAGTCGTCGATTTGCGTAGCCCCGACGGGACGCGGAATGTCCATGTTTTTTTCGTTCGCACTGAAAAAAAATCTGATAGATTCAACCAGTCGTCTGCTAGAAAATGGACGAATCAGAATTCCTTAAGGATTTACCATGAAAGATATTTCACAATCAGAAGTTTGCTAGACTTCGCTACAAATCTGGTAAATGCTAAAGGAAATTCTGATTCGTCCATTTTCTAACAGACAACTGGTTGAATCTATCAGACTTTTTTTTCAGTGCGGGAAACGAAGTTCCGCCAACGACGTTCCGCACGCGATAATATTTCATATCTATTCTATCCTTATTCTGCTACTTATTTGCTACTTCTTGTTCGCACATTTATTGTTGTGTGTACACTTGCTGTTGTTTTGATCGTATAAGTTTACGGGTCACCAGCGAGGTTGGAAAAGGTGTCGACCGATTCTCCGAAAGGATTTCAACCAGAAAATCTGAAATGCATCTCCTTCCCTCCAGCCGCGAGAACATTTGACGGAAACAAGTGTGCGGATACGGGAGAATGCCGTTTTAAAGCGAGACAACGTCGCTCCGACGTATCCAACGTACGTTCGAAGTTAACTGTCTGTCTACACGCGCTGCCTTGACAGCGACCTAAAGCTGCGGGAAACGTATGTCGCGATACAAACGACCCGGGCTCGTAAACACTCCTTTCCGTCAAACGTATCGCGCTCGATCGGGTGTTTGCGAGGAGATCGGCGAGAGACCGGAGCCCAGGCGCGACGTGTCAAACGCCGCGCACACGCGACCCGCGGCCCCCCTTCTCGTCGCGGAGAGGGAGGTTAATTAACATATTCGTTATCGCGGAGCGCAAGGACGAAGCGAACGCAACTGCGCGACTCGCGGCGGACGCTATCGCCGTCGCCGCCACCGACCGATTGTCACTCACCACGTCAATGGCATTCTTCAGGGCGATCTGAATGCCGCTGATCATGTTAACTCGCTCGCGGGGGACACACTCGCGCGCACAACACCCTCCGCTCTCATCCGCGGACTCGCGTGACGTTCCCGCGTAGCAGCAGTGTCGTCCAGTCGCGCCTCATCGCGCGGCGATACGGATTTTTTTCCCCGAGACGGCGGCTGCTCTCCGCGACTTTGACGTGTCCCCTCTCCCTCTCTACTGTCCGCGATCGAAGGTGCACCAGGTGGCGACACCGGGCGACACGTGCGAGGCGCGCCTGTGCAACGCGCAGTACACCCGGCGACGTAAGTGATCGCGCGCGGCGGGTAGTTCGCGAATAGTACGGTCGTGCGCGTTAATTGATCGGCTCTTTCCATCCGCCGACACAACCGCAGATAGCACAGGACACTCCTATGAACGTTTTAAGAAATATTTGGAATATTCCGTAGGTCATTCTTATACAGGGTCATCGAAAAGTATCGGACTCCCCCAATATTTTTAGTTAGAATGCATTTTGGAGAAAATGTCCGATGGCAAAGTTGTATGGTTTCAAGCGGGGAGTAAAATGATGACTTTGACCGTGTCCTTTAAGGTTATTTCAAGGTTAACTTAATTTTTTTAAATGGAACTCCCTCCTTTTTATTGAGACAAAGCTACTCCTCTTGGTATTTTCACTATAATTTAAGATACAGAATTAACCCCAAGTTGACACGAGTATCATTTTATCCTTGTTTTTCACTCGATGTTGAAAACAGACGGACGCTCGTGTCGACTTGTGTCTATGCTAAATGGAAAGCACCAAATGTAGGGCAGGGCCAATCTGTTTCAATTCGCGGGCCGCATTGAAAATTATCAAACTTCCCGTGGGCCGAGACAGTCTCAAAGATATTAAAATTTTGTCTCTTATAAGAAGAAACGCCAAAGATGTTTTAATATTAAATTTAAACATTCTAATAAAATTAGCTTTTCTTTCTTCCATTTTCTATTTTTCCAAGTTTTGCGGACCGACTGAAACTGCTCCGGTCCGCGGATCGTAGATTATTGGACGTTCCTGATGTAGAATTCCCAATCTTTCTTATCGAGAGGACCACGTGAAAATCCTTGCGATGACTGGAGCTGTCGGATAAGCGTTCGATTTTCGAAAATAGTATAAAAAATATTTTTATTTAAAATCATATCTCTGTGATTGTCTTAAATATTTTTATAAAATTTTTGTCACTTTTTACTCTTTGCGGTAATTCAATGGCAATGAAAGGAAATGCCTGTTCATTTGTACGATTATTTATTCTCAACAGCAACGTATACGTATAACAATAACGTCAATAATGTTCTAAGTGTAAAAAAGTCACTAGTTCGAGGGCGATATTGATGATGTACGCGCGTGTACTCGCTCGCTCACACTCGCTTTCCCTCTCTCTTCCGCTTTCACGTTTCCATAAATAATTTCCAGTGACGTCTCACTGCAGTGAGAAATCTTTTTCTCAGAATATCGTTGTTGCACATTTTACATTTTACTTCTAATACGATTTTATTTTTTTCTACAAAATTTCTTCAAATATTCTATCTAAAAATTTCCATCCCGCGTAATCTTTAAACGGATAAGAAGATGGTTACTCTTTTTTGCTTATAGTAATATTGTCTACGGATTTATCGATTAAGACAAATTTACCTTCGTTAAAACTGAGGAAAAATTACAAGATTGAAATTATTAAACAAGAAAGTCATTTGTGCTTTAACTTATGTGCTTTAACTTATGAATACTCACCGACTTGAGTGCTCGCAGTCGTCGCAGCATGGCGACGGAAAGAGCTTCGTTTATAAGAATTGGCAGATTTCAGAATTTCTAAACATATGTACACGGTGTCGTTGAAAACGAGCGCACTAAAAAACCGACGCCACTCGCGAGCCTTATCATTTATCTCATCGGGCCTTATCGCGACAAATGATAAGGAGATACACTCAATTAATAGCCGGCAATATTCTCTGAATGCCTTATCTCGCATGCAATCGTCAGAGATATGCAATAACTTAATAATATGATATACACGGAGTAAATAAATAAAAGCTAATATAGGATGAAATTAGTTCAACTTAAACATTTTTTTTATAATTTCAAACTTTCCAACGTTGTACTTTTCAATTTTGCGTCGTTTGGTATCTATGGTTAAAACATTTTTAATTTATTTGAAATTAATTGAACAACGTGTGATGTCGATTACTAGTAATTTTTTCTCCTTGAAATTTAATTCTTTTACGTATTTATCTTATCGATAGCTGTAAAGACGGCTCGATTTTTCCTTGACAAGGAAGCGTTTTCAAATGGGTAGAGAGTCTGATGCGAAAACGATATTCGATGATTTGAGGACGTTAAATCGTGTGGCGAGTGTGGCGCTGAGAGAAATGTGCGCTGCTTAGTAAACAAATGAACGAAAAGATTCGAGTTCAAATCCACGAACACCACTGGTTTTTCCGAAATTTTCCGAAGGGCAGTGGTAACCACCGAGAGTATCCTGCCACACATATCCTTTCAGCCCTCCAGATTGGAGGTTTCCTTCGGCAAGATTAGCAGCCTACCGAAGATGAAGTAAATGCTCAAAGTACCAGTTTGTTCTGGTATGGAACTGGTACAGAACGAACTGGGTAAAACAGACTTTTAAGCCTAACACGAGGAAGAAGATCGTATAATAAAAAAAATGAAAGGATTAACTGAAACTCGAATTTTGATGGAAAAATTTTGTTTATTCTCGAATCCTTCAATTTCTTGCCGTCTCCGGCATTCGCTATGATCTATTTATTATCGATTTAATTCGTTTACACTCATCAATACTTTTATTAACAATCAACAATTGACAACACGACCAGTCGACATTTCTTCTTGCCGGTTTAATATATCCAGCAATTTCTCTCACTTGTGCTCAAATACATCTAACACTCTCTCGCTAAGTTTTCCTCGCGCGATCGCGGGATAATTAACCTTTCACGCTAACGAACCGATACGCGAATCATTAACGAATCACGCTAATTAGCGATCGTCGTGCTGAATCGCCATAGGAAGGACGCCTCTACACTCTCGATTTTCCGGTTTCTCGCAAGAACATTAACTAAGTAGTCGCCGTCCTCTGTACCGCTATTACTATTTTTTTTTGTGCTCTATGTACAAGAAGTATTCATCTCGCAATTTTGTTTTTATTTTTGGGGCTTTCGTTTATTTCCTTCAAACTGCACATTCTCGAGAAACAAGGAAGCAACACGCCAATACGCGTTACTTAAAATTTTTTTTTCTTTTTTTAAATAGAAAAACCTCCGTAATCTAGTATTCGACACTTGAATACGTTTATGGGCTCTCTTTTTAACAGGCTTCGAAGGAGCCTTAAAAGATCTAAAACTGTCTTAAAAGAAGGAAGAAGACGGGGAGGGGGGGGGGGGCTAAAAAGTGCAGCCGAAACGAACATAGGAGAGATCTCCAATTTCTCCTCCCACACTCGCTCGTTCTCACTCACTCGTACGCCATTCACTCAAGTTCGATTCTCTCGTACCGCCGTTCGATTTTTATAGTACACATAATTGAATTGCAGCTAGCTCGCTACCGACAACCGCGTCTTCACCGCCTCTGCGACGCAACTGCGGCGACCAGCGCGGCGCCGCGGCCGCTGCCGTCCTCCGAGAGCATCAGGTTGAACTGCAACAAACAAGTCGGTGGAGTCAGTGCAAATAGCCATTACTTTGTTCGTATCGTAACATTATTTTGCCATACAGCGTCGTTACACTCGTTGTCTTATCCGAAACAATTTTGTTCCCTTGAACAAACCGCAAAATTCCTCTTGTACATACACTTTGGATTATATACACATATAGCCCCTGGATTCACCCTTTCACGACCGCCGGGACATACAAGTCCCGCGCTGCATTTTTCGCCCCTCTGATCCCTCGGGATGTTAATGTCTCATTAAAAAAAAAGAAGAGTAATAGGCAAAAGAAATAGTTCGGTGATAAAAGGGTTGAAATCTCATCCTTCAATCTCACTTCGTTTAACCCTTGCGCTGTGAGATCGAGAACCCTAAGTCGCGATACTCGCCATTTTCCGCACCGTCGCGCTCACCTTGTAGTTCTGAAGCTCGCCGATCTTCTCCATCATGAGATCGTGGAAGTGCGGGTGGAACCGGTACACCGATCCGTCGATGCCCACCGTGACGTTGTTCTCTCCCATTTTGTTCAGCAACGCCGCTATCCCCGCGCTCGACAGGTGCGCCGCTCTCCTCGACACCACCGAGCACACGTATCTCACATTCTCGCAATCCTGATCGCTCACATTCCGCATCCCCAGCTCGGCCAGTACCTCCCGGCAGTTCGTGTACCTCCCCTTCGGATCGCTGGAGCACAGATACAACATTTTCAGTGGTTGAACCTCAAATTTATTTCCTTAAAGTTTTCGTAGTTTTACAATTAAAAATTGTTTCATTAATATCTTTGTTAGTAAAAAAACTATTACAAAAGTAGGTGTTTTAGTTTGTCTGATCTCGTTTCAGAATTAACAAAGTGACGAAAAAAGTAACGAATCGTTATTTTTTAAGTAACGGTAACGATAACGAGTTACTTTTGCTAATCAGTAACTATAACGGTAATGAGTTACATTTTTTACTCGGCAACAAGTAACGGTAACTAGTTACTTTTAAAAAGTAACTTTTCTATCCCTGGTTTTTTCTTTCTATTCAATCGACTACAAGTAATATTTCTACACGACTAATCTTGTTGGACAAGGGGATTAAAGGATCATCGTGTGATTCAGCATAGCTTTTGCGAGGAGCCTGGAGAGATCTTTAATTATATACGCGATTAAAATCAATCGATACTCACTTTTCGATCTCGGAGACGTATTTCGTGAAGAACTTGCCGCGCCTTCTGAGATCGGGCGGGCATTTGCCGCCGAAGAGGAGACCGGCGTTCACCAGCTTCTCGAGAACCAACCTCGTCAGTTCACCCATGTACATCCCCGAGATCATTTTCTCGAACAACTGCCTGTTTGGATTGATAGAGTTTTCGTCTATAGCACGATCGAACTCTGTGACCACGAAGTCTAACGTGTCCTGCTCGCCAAACGCGCCCCACTCCGTGTTGATGAGCATCTCAGGCTTGTGCGCGGCATAGTTGCCCGGAATCGCACACTGCACGTTCTTCGTCTTCTCGACGTAGCAGGCGTTGCTTCCGGTACCTGCGATTGAGAGAGGACGTTATACATTTCCAATTTACAAGGAGACAAACGAATTTATACATAAAGGAAAGTCTCTTGTTATGACACTAGGCTCCTAATATGACAATGAGTATTCAGCATCCAATTTTCCACTAAACAGGTTTCACTCTAAGGGCAATAATTTCATGGAACCAACAGATGATGTTACTATCAATTTAGCAGAAATTCCGCTCTCTCGTAATAGAGGACTCTCCTCTAATGTATTTAATTTAATATGTGGACAAAATTTTTACTAATTGCAATTTTATTAGACGGTATTATTAATCTCGCAAACTTTAAGTTTGAAGGCAATTCATTTAATTACTTGATATTTACATTGCTGCGATAAAATTTCTTGAAACTTACAACTTAAACCGTTTTAATGCTTGATAAAAATTAATGTATACGTACCAACGATTAAGCCGATTCGACAGTTTCGATTTTTCCAAGCGCACGACATTAAAGTGCCAGTGGTGTCATTCAAGATGGCGCATACGTCAATTTTAACGTCCTGTGGGAAATATGGAATAATTATACTCACGTCGGTTTTTTCCCCTCTCTTAATACACCCTTGTACAATATAAATATTAGCATTTTCAAACGTCTCTTCAACAACAATTGAGAATAACAATTGCAGAATAATAAAAGAGTTGGGGGGAAAAAAAATTCCACGCGCGTTGTTAAAATGTCTTCGCCGCCACTTGCCGATAATGTCGCACTTACTTTTCTTCTGCTAATTGCATCTTCGAGAAGGGCAACGACATCCTGGCCAATCACGCCGCTACAATCGAAGCCCTTGGTCCACCTCACCAGGTGGCCCTCCGTTAATCCGTACTGGGTCAGAGGGAAGCTGAAGGTGAAGCCTAACGGTAGCACCTCGTTCTGCAGTTTCAGGTCCTTCACGAACAACGCCAGACACTGGGCGATATGATCGAACAGCTGGGTACCGGTGCCGAGCATTAAACTTTGTGGTATAGCGTAGATCTTGCTTTTCATATCGAAACTCTGGCCATCTAACGTGATTAGCAACACTCTAAAATTTGTACCGCCCAAATCCAGCGCCAGGAAGTTGCCCTTCTCTAAAAAGGAAGATCAACGACCGTTAATCAGAAACGATTATCGTCTTATCGTTAGAAGCTCTACCGCATCTCGAAATAACAGTCTTTCCTTTTAAGAGCGATTTCGTTTTAACTCTTCTTTCTCGATATTTGCTATTCTTTGTTTAGTTTATATTCGATAACTGTTCTTCGGATTAACTTAATAAGTTTAATGAATCTGGAATTAATTGTCGGTATATTTTTATATGTTAAGTAAAGATGGAGGGATAACAATGAAACACAATCGTGCACAATTTGATGAACTCTATCTTTCTACAATCTGTCTTTGCTGTCTTCAGAATATAATCTCACCGAGCTTGCAAAAATATACCTCTAGGATCATATCCCTCTTTTGTCATAAATCTTACACAATTAAACGCTTGATCAATTTTTACATTCCATTTTGACACGGAGCAAATTTTGGGCAACACGAATTACGTCCTGTTCTGGACGCAAGTGCTTAAATTCGTTATACTTTACTTTTTTCACGACTCCGAAAGGTAGATTAAAATGCGTCGCGAATTACGGCCGTTGCCACGCGTTATCATTTACCGGTGCCATTCGGCAGATCTTGCACGTAGGTAGTGAAACACTTGACGATCGCGTCGTCGTGGGTCTCCCTCGACAGGCCCTTGTTGATCTCCTCGGTGAGCTTCTGCATGACCAGCCGCAGCTGGTCGTCGGACAGGACGAGGTCCTTGCAGGCATCTCGTATCTGCGGACAGAGAGAAACCGGACGATGAGACTCGTTATCGATCCGCGGCGGTGTTATTGGGTGACCTTGAGTCGTCCTTAGGCACCACGCGCAACGCGGCCGCGGAACGCGCGGGCATTGCATAACGCTCTTGCTCTTACTCTGACGCGCATATAACAGCGGGGGACTTTCGGGCGCGAGAAACGATCGGCCCTTTTCCCCATTGACCCCGTGACGTCCAACGCCGGCGAGAAGTTCAACCCCCGAACCCACTCAATTGCCGTGCTCTCTACGAGTTCTAGGAGCGATTCCACAAATAGAATTGTCTCGGTTGTGTTAAACTGCGCATTAATCCTTCGTAGGAAAAATTTCTTACGTCTCCATACGTTTTTTTATGAATTAATCCTCAGTTTCTCGAAAATTTCCAGTCTTAATGCGGTGTAAAGAAAAAATAAGAAAGCTCGATCTTAAGTGCACTTTAATATGTAACGCATCACGATTAAGCTTTCTTATTTTTCTTTAAACCGCATTAAAACTCGAAATTTTCGGGAAACTATACGAGGAATTTATAAATGAACGGACATGTATTAAAGCACATGCTTTAATGCACTTCAACTGTCTTTACTGTTTCGTTATAATTCAGTAACGTATCTGGTAAAATACACATTTAATTGAATAGGAGAGAAGACCCGAAGTGGTCGAAGGATATCAAATTTCCCGCCAATTTCATACAGCGTATACTCGTTCTCCCACCGGGAGCGTAATGAAATATCGATCTGTGACGTCATTGACACACCCGCCAGCCGACCAATAGAATTCATCATGAATGGGTGACATAGTAGAATATGCGGTAGCACGCGCCGTGCGAAAGTACGTGGGTTAATGCACGTGGCAGAACCGTATCGGGAGTTTTGGTTCACAGGCTTTTTGTCGTTAAACAATTCGTATTTACAACTCACCGCGCGATGTAATGTCATAAATTCTGAACGAAAATAGAGCACATAATTGCAAGATATAATGTATAAAGTGATCGGTAATTTGCGATAAGTGTATGTAAGTACATACACTGAAAAAAATTTCTGGTTGAATATGGACGAATCAGATAATTCCTTTAGGATTTACCAGAATTCCTTTAGGATTTACCAGAATTCCTGTAATCCTACAGCAATTCTGGTAAATCCTAAAGGAATTATCTGATTCGTCCATATTCAACCAGAAATTTTTTTCAGTGTATAGATATACACTTATAATTTTTGTAATAACAGAGAGAAAGTGTGTAAGTACATCTCTCTGACACATGTATTCTATTAATTTATAAATGGACATTTATAAATTAATTGATTAATATGTATTTATAAATTAATG